CAGTCAACCAGACTTAGCCCCTGTCACCTGGTCTTGAAGCCTGGTCACCTGAGGGTAAACCTGTACTTGACACAGTAGAATTTTGGGAGGTCCCATCCTTCAGGTGGTTGCACCACATGCTGGGGCCTGGGCTTGTCTTTTTTGATTTGTGAAGGTAGGGGGTAGATGGGATCTATCATTGTGATCATACTGCACTAGGCTAATGCTACTTATTCCAATTGTTTTTGGGGCTGGCCACATTTTTGGGTCAAAATCTTGAAAACTTAGTATAATAAAAATTGGCTCATGCAGATTCCATTGTTATGTCCTAAATATGCCTAGTATACATTGTCATCTGTCCATAACTGTCAAACAGGATATTTTATGCATGACAGACCCACCATGGTCCTCATTGGAAGAACTGGATGAGCCATTTTATCAGTGATACATTGTACTGTTTTACATGTTTCATCTTTTATTTTAGGATATAATTGTAGAATCTGTAGATAGAACTCAGTATGCTTACAAGCTAATGAGGGACCAAGTGCACAGCCAAGCAGGACAGCAAGAGGCCTGATGATGCAGCTAGGGCAGAGATGCTGAAAGATTGGAAAAACAAGTCAAACACACTAGAAGGGAGTGGTCAGCTTGTCACCTATGACACAATAGTGCACCTCAAAGTTGCTAGAGGTTCAGCTAATTCCTTGGGTGTTTGTGGTGAGTTTTTGGCTGAGAATATCAGTATTCAAACTCCGACTGCTGTCATCTAATATGTTGTCCATAGTGGCCATGGAGTCTGAGCCATCTGCTTCTCCCCTGGCATCACAACCCACCAGATCAGTGACAAAAGCAGTCATCCCTTGCATTATATGGGAGAAAACTTATGCTGCATGGACCAATCATCTTATCAAGTGGTGTAGGACCCATGAAGCAGAGTGGAAGAAGCTGTTTTCTGACTCCAAACAAGATGCTTGAGAGGAAGGTAGGAGTAAGCAACAATTGTGACATGGGAAGAACATGATATATGTCGAGATCACAAAAGCAATCTTCTTGGTCGATGAGTCCCCTGAATTCTGAGTCCTTGCTCAAGACAATCCAGCTGTTTTTGCCACTCCAATCCATAGTCAGCTTGACATGTACATGCATCTCTTTCAAACAAAAATTCACTGCTCAACTATTACAGTTTAAAAATAAAGTACCAAAAGCAGAATGCACTACTTGGGCAGATGGGTGCCAGGCACACCTATGAGGATCTCACAAGCAGCAACAGCACAAAAAATATAATTGGTACATGACTATTTCATTCCTAAATACATGAGTATACTGATTGTTATCAGTGACAATCAAGAGGAGTTTCCTTGGTGGTGAGAATTGCATGGGTGGTGGTGCACAAATCCTGCCTACAACAGCACCTGGAGTGCTGCTGATAGTGGGCAGGATTTTGCCAGGTGCACAACTGAACTCTTCAAGCTGCAGCAAAACCCACCATCCAGAGATTCTGTCAATCCTGCTGCAGGCCCACTGAATTCACCTCAGCTGGAATAGGGTGAAATAGAGGATGGTGGCGACATTCATACTAATGACAACTTTTTTGCAGATGATTCTGAACTGATGAATGTTGACAATGACCCCCCCTTGTCACACATCAATACCATCCCCCTCCCTGCTCTTCTCTGAGTGAGAGCTGCCACCACCTGTTGTTCCATTGCCCTCTCCATCCTCTCCTGGGTGGCAGTCAACATCAGCCAACCCATTGCATCCCCCCCATTTTTCTAATTGGTTGTCACTGTCATCCCTCCCTGCTAATTCTGTGTGGTTTTTTCTTGCCCCCCCACCATCCTTTAATTTTTCTGAGTCATCTCCTGTCATAGCTCCTCCCCCCTCTACCTTTAACAGGGTGAATTCTATCAGTTTGAATGATGACCCCCCTCCCTTTGCATCCCATCATCCAAAACTTCAGCCAGCACATCTGTCCCTCAAGCAGGATTGACCCCTCCTTAAACACTGGTTGGCCTCCACTCCAAATATGGATGACTCCTCTGACTCTGACATCACTTCATCCAACATATTCTCAGCACTTTGTCTCTCATCATCTTCCCACCCCAGTGTCACCACTTTCTCTGATGACAGTGATTCCAAGTTGTCATCAAGGCCATCCCATAAGTGTGCACAGGATACCCCCACTGACAAGCTTTCTTCAAACCTTGCATCTGCTTCATTAACTTTCATTAAGCAGTTTCAACAGGCACAGCAGGATAGGTCAGAGGTCAAGTGTCACTGGCTTGAGTATGGATACTGGAGGACTTGACAGAAGGCCACTGCTCTCTCAGCTGATTGCAACTTACTATGCAACACAAACTGTTTGCACATGAGAAGATGATGGTGGCTCAAGAGTTGGGGAAGATGAAGCTCACCATACAGTTGGAGGAACTTCATGCTTGGAACCTCACCTTGCAAAAAGGCATAGCTGGCAGTGAGGATCAAGGCCCTTTGTCTAGTAATCAAGATGTTTATCTGCTTTGAAAACAGTGTATGACAGAATATTGATCATCATTTAGTATGCATTCCCATTCCCCCCCCTAGCTGTATTCCTGTCCCCCCCCTCCCCCCATGTATACATCTGCATCATATTCACACCACAACAGTATGTAGTAGTACATGTGAATATGGATGTTTGTCTTGTTTGTTATCAGTTCCTTATCACTTGCTAGACATCTCTGTTGATAACCATGCATGCTTTCTGGTGGAATTTGAATCTCCCAGTTGGAGCTTAAATATTTGCCCACAAACTCACAACTCAACCACACATGTTTTTTCCACATTTAACTTTGAGTGGCCCTAATGTCAAAGAGAGACAAACTTGGATCTGTGCACAAGGTGGTCATGCCCACAAATGAACTCAGAACCTTCACAACACCTCTACATATACATGCCTACTTTATAGTTGTTCTGTGGTAGAACAGGATATTTTAATACATTATTTATTTATCATGTTTTCTGGGAGATAAGATACTGTAATTTGACCTAGAACATTTGGCATTGAATTATTATCACATACAAAACATATATCATTTACTTTTGATGTTCCTTGGAACATTACATGTTCTTCAATGATCAGTGTGTTTAAATTATTTTGTGGTAATGTATTTGATTAATGTATTGCATAACATGTAGAAAATGACAGACCCTTGCACATACATCAGACAGATTATGGAGGGAATAGAAATCATCACCATATGGGAAGATGATCTTCTCCTGTTCATGATGACCCAGGGGCTTATGATATCACTAAAATCACAACTACAGTCTATGTTTGAAGTTACCAACCTCAGAAACCCTAAGAACATTGACAGTATAGCAATCACATGAGACCATTCCAAAGGAACTCTCTTCATTGGGCAAACATAGTACATAGATTATATACTAAGGACATAAGGACTTGGAGGTGTGAACAATGTGAAAACACCTGCAGAAATGAATGTTCAGATGTTCCCTTATCAGAAAAGAGAAGATGAGTGTAACCAAAATAAATATACTTCCCTGATCAGATCTCTGATGTACACTGCAGTTGCCACAGGGCCTGACATTGCCTTTGCTGTAAATAGATTGGTCTTTTTCACTTCAAATCCAGACCCAAGGCACTGGACTGTGGCCAAATGAGTGCTAAGGTACCTACAGGGAACAAAAGAATATGGAATGATGTATAGACCAATGGAAGGCAATACTGCTACAGACATATTTACAGGGTATGCAATGCAAGCTTTGCCAACACAGAGAACAAGACATCTGTCACTGGTTACATGTTCTTGGCTCAAGGGTGAGTCATTGTGTGGGGCTTGAAGAAACAAACCTTAACTGTGCTGCCAACTATGGAAGTGGATTGTGCTGTGTTGGCCAGAAGTACTTGAGAATGTGTATGGTTAAGGAAGCTATATGCTGAACTAGGGTACAGACAAAGGGGGTCAACAAAGATAGTGACAGACAGTAAGGGAGCCTGAGCTTCAGTATACAATCCCCACAAGCTCATGTACATGGGTGGATGGATGATCAGTTTGTCCTATAACCAACCACTTGAGTGAGCTCATAGCCAACAGGTTGAGTAGGCATCTGTTGGCCCAGGGCCTAAGATAATAAGGGATGTATTGTACAAAATATGTGCACATCAGACTCAGAAGGTGTTGTCAAAAAGATATGTCATGTGACATCATGTGATATGTCGGGGGGGCGGTTGAGCAAAGGAAGCTCTCAGTGCTCAACATTCAGCGTTTAACATCTAGCATACCAAACACTGGTGGTTCCTTTGTCTTTCCGTCGATGGAGTGCAGCATGTGCCGACAAGAATATAACACATTAACATATGCCTGAACCGCACACGAGTCTTGATAACTTAAACCGCACCGTCCGAATTATGGCCGTCTAATTCTGTGGAGTTAAGGGGAACACAGGAGCTCGAGATATTCGGAGTGTCAACCGATGGCGACGCAAATTAGGCCCGGGGGGGCTGGCCATAGCCTCAAGTTCAACAACACACACACACACAGATATAGTTTTATCTATCTGAGTGCGTCTTTTTTTTTGACACACTCCTGTGTTCTGTGGGTACCAGTGGGTGCTCTGGATAGCACTAAGAACGCGCCATGTTTCTTGTGCATTCTTTTGTTCTGCTGACGTGCTGTGCAGTGTATTATAGGCAGTCTGCATAACTGCAGAATTCTTTTGTTCCGCCAAAGTTGGAGAGGACCTACAGATTGTGTGCGCCACCATCGTTTCGTGTGTGGCGCTAGTCAATAACCGAGGAAATTGACAACAGGAATGACCATCACAGCTGTAATGGTCAGTGTGAACTAAATTTGGATTTCCGAGACGGCCAGACAGGAGATGTACTTAACAGCGATGAGGTGGCACGACTCTTGCCACTCAGTACTCAACGTTCAACGTTCAACCTCCAGGTTCCCATCACCACACAACACTAGTGCCCATCTGACGCGACTCCTGTTCTATATCTTCACCTACCAGTGACCATGTCTGGTCCCAGCGGCGCAGCAGTGGAAAGTGATTCTTCGCCACCCCCACGCACAACTGCAGGTGCCGGCCAGCGTCAATCGACTCCAATGAACCGAGGCCTCTCTGCGGCGAGCGGACAGCTCCATATCCACGGCGTTCGGTGCGTTCGCCCACTTTTCTCTTCATCGAGGTACACCTGATTCACGACAACAACCAAGTATTAACGATCTGATACCTTGGGTCACAGAAGACGTCCACAAAGCACAGCAATGCGAGGCAGACACAATGCTCGAGTACATACTGAGGCGTGCTTCGGAGACGCCAGATGACCTTGAGAACTTGGATAGCTATACCCTATTGGGAAGATGCATGGAGAAGGTTCTGCCCATATGTAATGAGGAGGTCAAAGATATCAACGGATTCCCGGTCTCGAACATCAAAACGGCTCTCAAAAATTAGTAAGTTTCGTGACTTGCGTGCCGGTGTTGATGTCAGTGTTCTTTGCTAACGTCTTGTACCAGCACGGCGTGTGAACAGGAGGATGGCTTGTACCAGCCCTTTGTCCAGGCGTCCAACACTGCTCTTGCGCACCTGCAGAGCCTGGAGATCGTTGGTATGCGTAAAAAGGAAAGTGCGGAAGTACAGATGTTCTTTCAGCGCAACGATCCGAAGGTCATCTCTCAATATCACGAAGGGCATTTTTCGAAACGCAAACCAGATATTGTCGCTATTCCATTCGCGAAGGGCCCCCAGCATTCTACAGAGACTGCACTCAGCGGCTGGCGCGACCATGTATCGACAATAGGTCCAGGTAAGGCACCCACGGCGAGCTCGTGGAAGGATGTGCTCGGCGTCTTTGAATTTAAGCGATGCAAGTCGAAGATGACGCCGCCTCCCAATATATACGTCGTGTCAGAGTACCGGGCTTCCAAACCAATGTTTTTGCAGATTGGCAAAGATGGAAATGAAACGGAGGCTGTCGCCGCCACGCGAGCGACACTCGCAGCACAGGCTCTGCGTAAGTAATGGAACTACACTGTTCAGTCAGGTTTAACATGCAGCCAATAGTACGCAACGCAGGTCCCAACATGACTCCTCAAAGCACTCGAGCGGGATCCCGGAAACGCAAGTCGGGGGCTGATTCTGAGTCTCGCGCGAGCAAGCGATCCAGGCCCGAGGAGCCCCGGGCACACGTAACAATCCAGACAGCGCTGTACGCTGCTGAAATGCAGTCCGCCAATATTGCGATGAAGTATGGCCTCAATTACATTGTTATAGGTGCATATTTTTTTCTCGCTAGTGAGCAGATTGCGCTGGACGCCTTTCAGGCGACGACATTTGGATTTGGTATTACGACCATCAAGGCCTCATCAGCGTGGGGGGATTCAATTTTGTTCAAGATCTCCCTCGCTTTCTGGTGCTGTTATACGCTCTCCAGCGATTCAATTTGGAGGACTGGGGTCGAAACACAGAATTTCAACCGAATCTAGAAGGGGACCGCATCGAGTCTCACACTATCGAGGTCAATGGAAAAACACTGACATTGGACAACTCGGAGAGAAAAACCCGGCTTGGGCTGGGAGGACGTGGGACTCATGTTATGGACATCACCTGCTATACACAAAAGCAGGAGAAGCTTACGGAAACGGCCGACGGCATGGTGGCGAAAATTTACTGGGCGGAGGAGGCACGAATGGCTGAGGAAGAAATTTTGGTACACGTTGAGAAAATTGCGCAGCAAGTCAGGAACGTCCAAGGACACGTGCCGGTCTTGCTCTTCTCGCAGAGGTTTCCGGTTTCCACATGTAAAATTAGGAGGGCTCTTGGCCTCACGAACCCTGAGAAAGGCAGCCGGACGCTCGTCCTGCTCGTGTTCAAGAAGCTTTCGCCAATCAAAGAGCTCAATGACCACGAAGTGGTCAACGCATGGTGGGAATGTGTTTTGTGTAAGTCCCGCTTTGTTTTTGTAGTGCCTTGGTTCTGAAAATCATTCTATTCTAGGTCACCATGCCCTCTGGAATAAAGGGGTCTATCATCGTGACGTGAGCGTCGAAAACCTGATGTACTCTAGGGTGGGCGGCAAGGTGACGGGCGTCTTAAACGATTACGACCTTTCGTCTTTGGAAAGTTCTTCCAACCCGTTGGGTAACGAGAGGACTGGAACGATACCGTTCATGGCGATTGATCTCCTCGAGGAACGTGGTCAGAATGGCGATGTGAAGCACCAATACCGCCATGATATGGAATCGTTCATCTGGGTATTCCTCTGGATTTCCCTACAGTACAAGGACGGCACGGCGCTAGAACCCGGACCCCTGGATTCATGGGCCAAAGTCAATGCCCATGGATGTGCTGCAATGAAGAGGAGTTTCCTGGGTTGCGCTGGCATTGTAGTCCCTGGTGACACCCCCAACCTCGTTCTTGTGTTGACGCTCGCGAATTTTCTTTGGCAGAAGTACAATGCCCGTCATAGCTTCATCATTAAGAAAAGGATTGCTGAGGCAAAGCTGCAAAGTGGAGGGCCGGGGCCTGCTACACAGCATGCAGCTACCATCAAGAAACTCGACGATGACAATCAGCTTGCTGAGGAAACAGCAGATACGGTGTTTCGAGAGCTTTGTTCCGAATTGGACGTGAAAATTGACAAAGATTAGCAAATTTTCTCTGTAAGACCTTCTATGACATGGCAAAGAAGCACAACAGGCTTGCCACAGTAACATAGAATATATTTGGCTGTATCAGGGTTCCAGATGAGGAGCATTTGTTGTATTGAAAATGTTACCACAAACATAGGAAGCTTGTTCTCCAGAATTTTGGTATTGGAGACCTGGGGATAAATAGTTATGACATCACAAACCAAGTGGGAGCAAGAAAGGGACATGCATCAACTTGATGGATATCCAAGACCTTGCTATCACTGATGAGTCCCTGACAAAGGTATTGTTCCATCATTGCCCACAACACATTTGAAGTCTGTTCACCAAATGAATGGTGCATCCTTACATCACAAAAATTCCCCAGAAGTTCAGAGGGTTCCAGTGACCCACAGGAGGATATACCAGTCTTTGGACAACCATCCTCCCTCAGAGAGACCCAGTCCTCAAGAAATCCTGAAAACTGGCTTAAGTCAATAGCAACATTGACAGTGCATAGACAACCTGTTTGGTGTACATTGTGACACATCAAAGGTGTTGATATTTGGTGAGGCAGACATGGATATTGTTGATGAATTGAGATGAAATACTAGAGTCCTGATGCATAGGAAGACAGCCAGGAATGTCAGCAGTCATCCTTTATGCAAGAAAAAGTCATCAATGCCAAAGAAAAGAGAAGGAAGTGAGTTAATGGCCCATGTACAGCATTCTGGTTTTTGACATATCTCCCTCATTTCTGCAGATACAGACACCATTCCCACACTCACTTATAGTGCTCAGCCACATGATCCTACCTTCCAAAATTGGAAAGATCCTCACACTCCACATATTTCTATAGCTGTCATATCCATGACTCTCAGACTCAATCCCAGTCCAGTCTGGACCCCTAGCCCCTAACTCTGGTCAAGTCTAGTCCTAGTCTGGCCTAGATAACCCAACTCTGGCCCTAGATAACCCAACTCCAGCCTGAATAACTCAAGTCTGGTGTTTTACCCCTATCTCCAGTCCACTCTGGCCTCCTGGCCTTGTGCTGCTCCACCCTGGTCCTCCCAGATCCATGTCTGGGTCACCTGGACATAACTCCAGTCTGTTTCCCTTTGTTTGTACTATATTTAGTTTAGTCCTCTTGCCTGATCTCTGCTTACTGTACAAACCCTGTGTCTGACTCCAGTTATGCTGGTCACCTGGACTTTGGCTATTAGTCTTGGCACAGCCTCTGTGGCTACCCACCCCTTGGTAATCATCTTCCTGATAGCTTACTAACAAGTCCAGCTTCATGTTCATTACTCCAGACTGGCCTCATGTATTTAATCCCTGTACATACTTTGTAGCACTCCAGTCAGAGTATCAACTAAGTATTACCCTCACCCTGTACTACTCCAAGTCTACTCTATAGCTAAGGCTGAGCCTTAGTCTATCCCTGACCCCTGTCCCAGACCTCTCCCTGGCTTGCATAAGGGTACAGCACATAAGCTGAGACCAAGGGAGGTAGATCCAACCCCAGACTGGCTTCCCCCTGTGCACACTCCAAGACCAGTCAGTTTCCCATGATACCAGCCTTGTTCCCACACTCCCAGCCTTAACTCCAGTCCTCCAGACTTAGCCCCAGACCTCCAGCCTTAACTCTGGTCCAACCAGACTTGGCCCCTGTCTCCTGGCCTTGACTTTGGTCACCCAGTCTTGAAGCCTGGTCACCTGAGGGTAAACCCATACTTGACAATAGCACTCCCTCAAACAGATGCTCAGGCTATGTATATTTACCAGGAATTCCTTCCAGCTTCTGTCCTGAAGCATCCTGGTACATCCCATCCTCATCTGCCCCCTCAGCCTGTCCAGCTTGGACAACATTCTTTTTGTCAGAATGACCTTCAGGAGGACATTCTATGGTTGTGTCAGGTCTGTCATTCAGTTAGAAAGGTCTTACATGGTCATTTCAGTCTCCCTGATCACATCCATGATGAGTATGATGCACACCTTGCCTTCTTGTTGCAAGATACAGCAGAAGATGCTCCCCCTTCATCCTCTCTTTCAACAGAGTCTCATTCATGAAGTTTTTAATCCCCTATGCTCCTGTCACCCCACAGACCCCCAAAAGCTTGACCCCTTTGACACCTGACACCTGCCATCCCTTTATGGATGTCCTATATTGACATCAGATCAGTGCTGCATCTCTGTCATCCTACATTGGTTGAGAAGTGATTCCTTTGAGATGTGACATGCACAGCCTCCCCCCTAATTTGATTCCAGTACAATTGTTCAATTTCTGACAATGCTTGACTCATACTTTGATATTCCAACTGTCCTTGACTCACCTATTGCCAGTATTTCCAATCTTTTGACTTTTCTCACTCATTTTATTGATCCTTAGTAATGGTTACCAATGCATTCTAAGTTGATTACCCACTGCTTCCACTCCTTACTTAACAGTTACCAATCACTAATCAAGTGTTTACAGTTTGTTTTCCATAGGCATTGCTCTTGTACTGTATATAAATCACTGGACTCAGGTAGCTGAAGAATAACAAGAGGTGGCAGAGAGCCCCTCTTGCTTGCATTTCTCTGTCCCTCAGTAATTCATTCATCAGCTTCAGTAGTTGAGGATTCATTAAGGGTCTAGCTATTGTCTACTTCACTTATCATCACCTATCATCAATCAGCTTCACTCTGAGTCCTCTCTGAGCTCAGATTAGCCTGGGACATCAAATTAAGTCATCATTCATCTTTCTGTACGCTGACAGCAGTCTACCCCCTCACTTCATCTTGCATTCTTGCTCCTTCATCAGGAGCAACCCCAACCCTCAGCACTCATCTTTGAGTACTACAACTCACAAAAAACCTGCCCAATGACACACACCAAAGGTGTTATGCACATGGTTACAGCTGACTCTGGCTAACTCATCAACAAGTTGCACACAGTGCCATAAATGGAGATGAGAGACTATAGCCCTCATGTGTAAGCATACACTTACCACTCACACATCACTCATGCTCATGCTACTGCTTCATGCTATCACATCTCCTATCACACTGCACTATCATGTCTCCTATCCCCTTGTCTGGGCATGTGGATCCCTCTTGCTGTGTTGCACTGTTTGGACCCTGGGGGTATATATATTGGTGCTACATGTATGCATAGGGCATATCTTCTTTTCCCTCTTTCTTTCCCTCTCTATCATCTTGTATCAGAGCATAAGCTCAGTTGTTCAATCCCACACACCTGTCCATGTTCTGTCTTGTTGTGATTTGTCCTGAGTGTGCTCACCCCTACCATGGCGAGTTCCATCATGCATAGAAGGACAGCTGGAGATTAGTGGTCATCCTTTGCACAAGAACAAGTTGTCAGTGCTAGAGAGAAAAGAGGAAGCAAGTTATGCACTCATCAAAAGTTTTTAGCACCCATGTAGCATTCCAATTTTTGTTGTATCTCCACCATTATCAAAGATGCTGACTCAATTCCCACACTCAGTTATAGTGCTCAGCCATGTGATTCTGCACTCCAAGTTTGGAAAGGATCCTTGTACCCTACATGTTGCTACAGCACTCTACCCATCAGATGCTCATTTCACTAAGTCCATCAGATATGGCTGCCTCTACATTGATCACCTCACTTGTCTCCTTTGCTAGAGACTGTGGCTATGTATATCTGCCAGGAATTCCTACCAGCTTCCATCCTGAAGCACCCTGGTGCATCTCATCATCATCAGCCCCATCTCAGCCCATGCAGCTTGGTCAGCATGTTCTCCTTGTTGGCATGGCATCCAGAAGGGCATTCTTTGGTTGCCTTGGGTCTGTCACATAGTTAGAAGGGTCTTGTGTGCTCATTTCAGTCTTCCCATTGAGATGTGACATGCACAGCCTCCCCCTAATGTGATTCCAGTGCACTTTCCCAGTTCCTGACATTACTTGACTCATACTTTGATGTTCTGACTGTCTTTGACTCACCTATTGCCAATACTTATCAATCTTTTAACTTTGCTTACTGATTCTTTGCTTTTTGGCTTGCTAATCCTTACCAATGCTTACAATGCTTTCCAAGACAATTACCCATTGCTTACATTCCTTACTCATCAGTTACCAATCACTTACCAAGTGTTTGCACCTTGTTTTCCATAGGCAACACCCCTGTACTGTATATAAATCACTGTACTTAGATAGCAAAAAAGAAGACATCAGAGAGCCCCCCTTGCTTGCATTTTATCATCACTCAGTAATTCATTCAGCAGCTTCAATAGTTGAGACTTTATTAAGGGTCTAACTATCATCTACTTTGCTTATCCTTGTCAATCATCAATATACTTTGCTCCAAGCCCTCCCTGAGCTCAGTGCAGCTTAGGACATTGAATTAAGTCATCATCCATCCTTCTGTAGGCTGACAGCAGTCTACCCTATCGCAGTCTCTCACATTCCTGCTCCTTCTTCATCAGGAGCACCCCCAACCCTCAGCACTTGTCTTTGAGTGTTGTAGCTTGCAAAAACCCTCCCAAAGAACAGGTTCTACTATCTAGGTACCACATAGGCACACCACCACTTGCTCTTATTGTCTTTTGTGTTGGTTTTGGTTGGTTTTCACCACTGAACCACACTTCGACTCACACCAGTCCAAGTCAGGTGACCAGACCAGTGCTGGATCTGCTGGGTCCCAAGTCTAAAGTCATGTGCATGTAGTGTAGTATTCTTTCTGTGTTGGTATGCCTGCAAATGCCACTGCAAATGCCTGGTTCTGGTTCAATGGTGTGAAAGAAAGGACAAATAAAAGAAAAGTGAGAGGAATCAAGACATAGTAACTATGAGGTAGGAGAAACAGATAGGAGGAAAACAAACTTGAGACCAGTTCTATATTATTTCTTGAAAGGACTGGGTTTGTCTGGGTACTGGTCATGATACTCTTGGACAAGTTCTGAAGCATTGTCCAGCTCTGTTGCTAGTACCCAGGTAGTTTCTTTATCAGTTCCCTTGTAACCAGTCCACTGGACCAGGTACTGCAACCAACACTTTCTGCACCAGTTGACCTTTGAATTGAGTATCTCTGCTACTTCAAATTCTAAGTTGCTGTCAACATCTACTGGTGGGGGTGGAGGTTGAGTCCAGTTGGGTATGGTATTTGGGATGGCTGGTTCAGGTTGGGATACATGGAAGACTTGGTGTGCAGTGCACATAGAGTCTGGTAAGCATAGGGTGAATGAGTGAGAATCAGCCTGGGCCATTATGGGGTAAGGCCCAAGGTTCTTCTCACTCAACTTCTTGGAGGGCTGGGTTGACTGGAAATACCTGGCTTTTACATAGACATTTTCACCCACTTTGAAGTCTGGGGCCAGCATGCACTTAGCATCTGCCAGTCCTTGGTAACATTGCTGGGTGAGAGCCATTTCTTCATGAAGGTATTGGTGCAGTGAATCTAGGTCGACTGTGTAATCACAAGCCTGGTTGGATGTGAGATCACACTCAGGGAAGACTGAGATATTAGGGTGATAACCCTTATTAGTGAAGAAGGGTGATACCCTGGTCATAGCACTGGGTGCATTGTTGTAAGCAAATTCAGCCAATGGTAGTAACTTGGCCCAGTTATCCTGTTGGTAGTTACAGTAGACCTGGAGATATTGTTCAAGGGTCTGATTGGTGCGCTCTGTCTGACCATCCCCCTCTGGGTGATACCTGGAGGTGAAGTGTAATCGCATGTCCAGAGCCTTACCAAGAGACCAGAAGAAGTGGGATACAAATTCTGATCCCCAGTCTGAAGTTACATGGGCTGGTACACTGTGCTTGGGGAATATGTGCATCAAGAAGAGCTTGGAAAGCTCAGGGGCTGTGATGGTGTTGTGAGTAGGTATGAAAATAGCTTGCTTTGAAAGCTGGTCAACCATGACAAGGATGGCAGTAATGCCAGTTGAGGCCAGGAGTTGCTCTATGAAATCCATCAAGATGGAATTCCATGGCTTCTCTGGCACTGGGAGTTGTTTGAGTAGGCTGTAAGGCCAGTGGTGGGGTACCTTGGCCTGGGCACAGGTAGTGCAGGACTGGACATAGTCTTTGACAAATGTCCTTAGGCTGGGCCAAGTGTATTTGTACTGGATGAGCTCTAGAGTTCTGTTTTGGCCAAAGTGGCCAGATAAAGGATGATCATGTTTAAACCTCAAGACACAAAGGTGAAGGTTGTTAGAGTCTGGTACATAGATTCTTCCATCTAGACAGAGGAAGCTGGCATCATCAACTGACCACTGGGAATCTGATGTATCTGAGAACTGGACTTGAGTGACCAGGTCTGAGGGTAGGGCTGAGAGGATATCATTGTGTAACTTCTCCACATCCATCAGTGCAACAGCACATAGGACCAGGTATTCAAGGTAGGTGGTGTGCAGGGAGGTGGCTAGCTGTTCCTGTGTGAAGACTGGTCTGAGGTTCTGTGGGTTGACCTGGGCATAGTCACTATCCCCCTCTTTGGGGTAGATGTCCCATCGTCTAGTTAGGGCATCAGGCTTAGCACTGAGTTTACTGGGTCTGAACCAGATAACCATATTGAATTGCGACAGAAACTCAGGCCAGTGCACCTGGCACTGGGTCAATACCTTCAAGGTGGAGAAGTACTCCAGGTTCTTATGATGGGTGACAATGTCAACTGGTACTGCAGAGCCTTCCAAGTAATGCCACCTTGTCTGGAAAGCCTCAAAGATCACTTTGAGCCCTGTGTAATTTCTAGAGAACAGTTCCAAAAAATATGTGCAGAGATGAAAAGTCAGTGACCAGATGAGCAGTGAGCAGTGAATAACTGCATTTGAGTGGGTGTAGCCATATGCATGAGTAGTTGCTGACATGATCAGGTTCACTCAATGGCTCCAAATGTCCTATACATACCATTGCTTGAAATAGTCATGGCACCCAAAGAATGCTATTCAAATTGTATCCAGCAATCATTCTCTGCAGGTCTCAAGTGTTGTATTGTTTCTCAATCTCATGTCCTTCTACTATGATTTTATTTGAAGCAAGTCTTGAGATGTGAGGCAAGGGGACACAGGTAGGGGGTAGCACATGATTGGTAAGCAGCCACCAAGTGTAGATAAGACATTACTAGGTGTAGAACTTCAGATCACAACAACACACTGCATAATTGCATAAATTTTTGCTACTGTTCTCTAGATGATACACAGGGCTCCAAGGATATGAATCTTGTGTGAAGAAATGTGCAATAATAGGCTTCCAATCTTACTTACATGTGCAATGAACATCTGGAAGCAGAGGGCTCTCTACTGCCCAAAAAGCATTGAAAGCCTGCTGGACAATTGATGTATAGAAGACCACTATTGGTTTGCTAAGGTGTACAGATGCCTAGATCACTTGCAATTTTGATTGTATATGTGAAATCAGCCTATGCTTTTTCAGACTTATATAGTGCTAGAATTAGTCTAATTTTTACACCAGGACCTACATCTAATTCCCCTGATTCTGAATCTGCAAAAATTGCAGTGATCCGACTTGAATTGATTGAGATATCAAAGTTATAACATTTAGCTACTAAATGTGTGTGATTTTGTTTATTTGGCCTTGCTCTCAGTTTTGAAAATAGCTGTAACATGAGGAGCAACAAGGCACAAACGCAGTAGCTAGGACTGCAGGAATTGTATATACACATTGAGGCATCATGTACAGTGCCTAACAGCAATGGACATGTGATGGACATCGGCACCATGTGTGATTTGACCCTGGACCACCCCTAACAAAGAGTTGATAAGTGGCCAGTCCTGAAATGTAACAGTAATGGCTGGGGCAACTGACACAAAACTATGGGATGTGGTAGAGGACTCCAATTACTCACATGATATGGGATATTAGATGGGCCAGGATCATGATAGTTCATACAGTCACCCCAAGAATCCTACATAATTTTTCCTTAGTCTTGTTACCAAAAGTCAGAGACCTGGATACTCACTTGTCATCTGGGAAAAGACTGCTGGGCTGGGCCAGCCTCTCGCATGTGAGGATGGCTTGGAAGATTATCCTGATGTAGATCCTATACAATGCTTCATTAGTCTTGTTATCAGACCATAGGAACCAAACCCTACCCCATATTGCAGAGCCAGTGTGGGAGGCTTGGATGGGCCAGGCTCTCGAGTGTGCACATTGCTTGGAATTGTGGATGGGTCATGACACAAATCTTGTGCAATGGGGCACACATCCTGGCATTGATCGTGTGGCACAGTTCAACGGTCAGACTGTAAAGCCTTGTGAACATCAGCAGATACCAGATATTGAGTAAAAAGCAGAACTTACCTGGGGACCAATAGTATTGTGATTTGACACCTCCACATGGGGTCGCTTCCAAGAGGGAAAAGGGAGTTGTTGCTGCAGTCAGGGTTGTGGCTATCAAAGGACCTCTGTGCCTTGCTGCTGGTGATCCGTTTCCTTGAGGGACTTCTGCCACTCTGGATCATCTGAGATCTGCTGCAAAACAGTACCATTGGTAGCTTTGATGAGCACAATCTCACCCTTCAAAGGGTCAGCATCCAAAATATCAATGACCTCTACACAGAACTTCAGCATCCAACTGGATGAATAAAATAGGGAATACCTTCGTTCCAGCACTTAATCTCAATTTCCAGCACATCATCCAGACTATCTTGTTCTTCCTCATCATTGGTTTGCCCATCATACAAAAGACCCAGTTTTCTCTGAAGGTAAGGTACTACAAGTTGATGAAGAGGGCCAGCCTTAAGTTTCTTGTACTCAAAACCAGGGCCTGGTGGAGATACACTGTGGGGCCAGTTGAAAATAGTGAGGTGGCTCTTCCGCAAAAACCTGAGAAGCTGGTGCCAGGAAACTTTCTGGGGATCACTGACTTCAATGCCATGTGTGACTGAGCAAAGGATCAAGATAAATGCATGTACAGCACAAGAATAACTTACCACACAGATCTCTCAATGTGGCCAACATCTTCTCCTTCATCATGCATCTGAATACTCTGTGGTTGCAGTCTCTCAGAGTCTCCTTTATACAACAACATAGTTCCAGTGCAGAACCCACATCTCCAATGGAACTGGTGCCAGCCACCCTGGCATCCACACCATCGCCATTCCTGAGAAACCTACAACAATCAAATGAGGTCGAATGAAACATGCAAGAAATAAACTTACTTGAAAATTGCGGTATGCTTATCCATGAGTGACCAGACATCAATGCCATTTTCATTGATGAAGTTTCTTATCATCTTGGAGCCTCCAAATATGCCAGAAGTTTGACGTCCTGCAGGGTCCTGTCCAACATACATTACTGCTCCAACTATCTTGATATTCTTGAGATTGGACCATGCCTCTGCCTGTGGAATGATCAGAATTGATGGCTGCACAGTTGCAACCACATACCCATCCAGAAAATTGTGTCTTTTCATTGTCCACTCTAGCTGCAATAGATTTGACAGATTGATTAGTCGGTATGGCAGAAGAGCTCTCACTCCACTCATAGATGGCTTTTAACTTTTAGTCATCCTTGGGGATGCCTATCATGAGGGTGTTTTACTCCTTCATAATCAAATTGTTGATTGAATTTTGATCAGCTGGTCAGGACATTAGAAGGGAAGATGTGAGAGGGAGGAAAGCCATACCACCATCTGGTTTGGGCTGTGTGGCCCAATACCACAAGTGGAAGAGGTTGGCCTCATTAATTTTGGTATGAGAAGCCTTAACACTAAATCCCACAGTGATGAGTGTGTTGCATGTAGACTGCCCATGCCATTGGCCAAGCTCTTCCACCATCATCTTGACATCCTTCGCAAAAGCATGTATTTCATCTAATGCTGCTGTGGACAGATTCCCTGGCTTCTTGAGGTTTGGGAGTTGGGTGTCATGGTCACTGTGGTTTGCAGCATCAATGTCCTCGGCATCTATAGCCCTACCTTTGCCCTTCTTCTGAAGTCTAGTATAGATCAGGCCACCTTCTTGGTGAGGATGGGGGAAGCAGGGACTGGGCACAAGAAACAGTCTGAGCATTGCAAGCACATGCATCATCATCATCTAGGGGTCAACATGTCAACATGAGGCAGATGTGTATATAGATGGTAAGAGAACAGGATCACAACAATTCTTTATCCATATAACAACCAAGGGAATGATGCACAACAGGAAATGGTCATGAGTATCCAAAGCACCAAGCTTTGAAACACAAGTGGGCACAAAGCCTACCATCGCATGACCAGAGAGGCACCAAACCCCAAAATCAAAAGAAATGAGAATTATCTGAAAAAAAATGTGAGAGAACAAGGGATACAAAATGGAAAAACCTACCATGGGAGCCATTCGAGCTCTCCATCTCATCGTCATTCTCATTCTCATTGTAATTGGAACCCTTGTCATCATCATTGCTACCAGGCAGCCAGTCATCCTCTTTCTCACTACTGGATGGCAGGTCATCCTCATTCTTGCTACCAGATGGCTGATCATCCTCATTCTTGTTACTGGAAGGCTGGTCATCCTCATTTTTGTTGTTGTCAGGATTCTCCTCCATCTCCTCCATTGCAGAGTCCTCATCATGGATCTGGTTGTCCATGTGCAGGGAAGGGGAAGGGAGCATTGGGGTGTTTGCAATGGAAGGACAAGGTGTCAAGGAGCATCTTCTATCTCTCAGGCCAAACATGTGCTCTTCCCAGCCTTCAGGAGGCTGGACTGCATGCCATGGTTTTGGTTTGCCAATCATATCCTTTGGAGTAGATTGCCATGAGTGGAAAATGACATTAGAGTAATGGATGAGAAATATACTACAAGACATACCTCTGAGTGTTGCACTCCATCATTAGAGACAACGGCACCACCTTTTTTTACTTGTTTGGAAACTGGGGCATTTTGTGAGGACAGAATCCTTTGGTTGCAAAGAACACGAGTGTTCAAGTCAGCAATGGAGTCCCTTGAAGGCTCCAGGATATCAGCAGAGCAGGGTATGGTTGTATGGGGGTGTTGAGAAATGGGGGGAGGCAAGGTGAGTATTTAAGGTCAGAGCACATCAAGCCGAGATGAACCACATGGGAAAGAAAATCCATCTAGAACATGTTGTCTCAGCATGCAAAGTTCTGGATATAGCATCAGCAAGGACATATGAAACCATGAAAAGAGGACACAACATAAGGGGGATGAAGGAAAAGCATGCAGGAAAGAAGTGGTTGTAATGCATAGCAAGGATGACACACCTATTAAAATGGAAACATACAGGTGAAATTCCAATCACAATCCAGAACAGCAGTATTCCATCTGCATGACCCAGAAAGTGGGTTTCCTCAGGACTGAAAAACCACAAGAGTTCATCAGTATCCAGCAATAGAGAAAGGAATGGGCTTACTAGACAGAAAATGAATTGTTCAAGCCCCTAAGGGTGGTCACTGATGAGAGCAGGGTTGACACAGTCCAATAGATGGAGTCCCTTTCACGTGATTGATAGCCAAATCGAGCATATAATGTAGACCAAATGTCAGAGGTAACCACATACTCATGTTAGAACTTTGCATGGTTGATCATGAGGCAACCTGGAGAAAATTCATAGTAGAAAGGAGAACTTGAGATCAACAATCAGAATCACTGCCCTTGTAGGTAACATCACACCAAGTCTCCAATACTGTAGAGGAACATGCCACATATTCGATCAGCAGGGATAGATATGAACAGATGTGTTGCTAACTCGAACCTTCAGGACTAAAAGGCGAGGGGAGAACTGCACTATTGGCTACATGATCGATCACTGAATCTGTACCAAGGGTAGATGAGTGGGGAGACAAGGGCATTGCTATAGAAGGCATATACTGGCCAGGCAGAACGATGGAGTGCAGCTGGAGGTGGGGAGAATGATGGACCTAGTACACATAGTATGTGCTGGTAAATGGGTCAGTAGACTGTGGAACATAATGATGCATAACTTAAGTCAAAAGCACTGACCTGCAAAACCTTCATTAACATCACTGAAAGATGAGGGTCAGTCTTGACTGTCATCATGCAATTGATCGTTGGATCCACTGGACACCAAGACTGCCCTTGAAGGCTCCAAACCTTCAAGGCTGTCAAGGGCACCAAGCCCCTGACATATGGTAGAGGAACACACTGAGCATTCCCCCAATACCATGTGGACAGCATACAGAAGATGAGAGTGTTGCTAAGCTGTGGGTGGTGCGAATGTTTGTTTCAGCTGTGATGATGTAACAATTGTGCAATTGTGAAATGACATGTTAAAATTCTGTCATTCATCGAAACTTTAGTCACATCAGTAAAGGTGGCCAAATCTATTAACAAAGTAGCAATGGCACACTAGTACTTGTAACTAGGACTTGCTATAAGTAGCTTATCAAAATGTCATTACTGTAATGCATGAATGTGTCTCCCATGAATATTACAATAGGCAGTCTGGAACATTGAGGAATGAAATACAGAACACAAAACTTATATCTAATCACCCGATTTCTCACTACTACTAGTAAGTGCTACCTACTACTTCGAGTCGCCAATGCCCCTCCATATAAACCAATTCAGTGCAAGGTAAGTTTCCCTCTATCTTTTCCATCTTACTTTTCCAGATGGCCTGGTTGCTCTTTCCACAAACATTTGGAGCATTTGTCCATCAGGTCTTGGGGGTTTGGTGCCCACAAGTTCTTGATAGGCTTGGGGCCTATCAAGAGTTATCCTCATGGTTTCTGGGGTGTTTCTTCATCGAAACTCAGGCATTAACATAGTCTATATGCATGGAATGTTACCCAGTCAGTGGAGGATTTTGCGCTGGAAAGAGGGTCTGCCTTCAAAGTTGGCAGGATTCATGTTGACAAGCAGAAGTCAATGGAGACCATTTATAATTGACTAGATGAACATTTGCACAATTGGCTAAAGAAGCACCCCCACTATGAAGGTCCTCTGAGACCTGATTCATGGCTGGGGTCATGTCAGTGATGTCTCCTGCATCTGAAGGCATGATTTTTTTCTGGTTCAGATTTTGTTAATTAAAATTTTCTCTAGCAACTCCCATTTACATTTCAAGACACAGTCATATTGGTTGCTTTTTGTCAACGCCTCCTCCTAGACATCTTTGGCATGCTAGAATATCTGGACACAGACCTCGACACTGCTATGGGCACTTTTGTTGATTCATTTGACCACTGGATCAGGGCATTCACAACAGACCCTGACATTTGCCAGTGCCTTTTTGAAATACATGTGCCTGTCTGGATGGTCTGGAAACCTGATCATGTACCCCCAGACATGCAAGTGTTGAAGACTGTTGAGATTATGCACCCTCATGACATAGTCATGGATCCTGAGGTTTTTGAGGTCAGGCAGATGCTGAAATGGCACAGTGCCTTGTACCACCCTGGTGAATCATGCCACAGGCACATTTGACAAGGCCTGGCGATTGGGCTCGAGCAATTTGTGGCTCCCTGGCCAGAACCACCATGCACCAGCAGTGGTGTGGCCTCGACTCCCACAAGCATGGGTCCCACAGCTTCCAATGCTGCAAGTTCCAGTGGTGCAAGTTCAAGTACAGGAGCTGTTAGGACAGGCAGGGCTTGACAATGTAATCAGCCATGTATGTATCCTATTCATTTTGTCTCAGTGTGTTTAACATTTTGCTCAGATCCCCCTGCAAGCTTGAGAGGAGCCAAGCCATCAGTTGTTCTGAATCCTGAACTGTGGGAAGACCTTGGCAATCCAGCTATTCCCCCTACTATGTCTGCATGGAATGCTGCCCTGAATGATGTGAATAAGGATGCAAAAAGGGTTAGTCCCAACATGCCCAAGGTAGCTTACTTCTTTCCCAGCCCAAGTCTGTTTGTGAGGGGTGAGTCCTCCGATCGCCAGCAGAGGTACCTGAGGAATTGGCTAGTCTCTCAAGCAGGTTGGATCACTCATCTGTCTGCCTTGGATGCATCTCATGTTATCCCTCAGTCCTGGCAGGATTTCCTGAACACAATTCCCAAGCAGATTTCATCCACATTTTCCAGCAACTGACTACATGAATCTGCCACCCTCTTTGGTCCCAAGCTCATCAGCCTCCAACATGACATACCTAGCCATGTACAATTCTGGGATATTTCAATTTCCCTCACAGACCTTGCTACCATTGATCAGATGACGAAAAGCAAGATTTTATGGGATTTATATGAACACAACTTCCAGTTTGAGTTGGTTGCTCTTGACTGTGTGATGATGCCTAGCTTGTGGTCGAATCAGGATTCAGAGTGGCTCAATCACATCCAGCAGGTATGTACAATTTTATCTCACCAGGAATGTGCTGTTTCTGAACTCTATGCAGATTTTCCCTGGTGATTTGGAACTTGCCATGTGTGCTGAGCCTTTCCCTCAGCAAAATCAAGGCCTCAGCTCGTCCAACTTTCAATTGAAATGGGAGTACATACAGAATCTCTGGGTGTTACTTGCTGTATGGCCAGGATGCCCCTCAGACTTGGCAGAGCCAATTATGCCATTAGCATCATCATTGCATGTCTGGGCAATGGAAAAGAAGTTGGCTATATTTTATGTACAGCCATTCTTTGATAATTTTGGTTGTCCACCCCTTCTTCCCTGCCTTATTCCAACTGCACCACATGGTTACAGTTCAAATAGTCAGTAACCTCCTTCATCATTCCCCAATACCATTTTTACTCTGTATGTTTCCTGAACAATATTTGTAGCACACCACAATTGCAATCTCTTTTTGTTCATCACACACTTGCTCCATCTCTTTCTCCATTGCCCTCACTAGTCGTGTGCAAAGGTCAGTTTGTTTTTCTATGCTAGAGGCTAACTATTGGAGATGTGCTGGTGGCATCTTGGGGTTGCCTTCCAGCAACCAGGATTTGGTGTGCTGGTCACAGTCCTGTAACTTTGTGTTGCAGGATCATCATCTACCACTAACTCACCTAGACAGTTTATGTGTCTGACTGAATTTCATAGATGTCTTCTCATCAACCGAAACAGCTTACTAGGTGTGGTCCCTCTGTACAAGTTACTGCCCCAATGAACCAGATTCCTGACTTGCTCCATGCAGATGATCTTGTGGTCCTTGTTGACCATCAGACTGCTGAACCTTCACACTGTGTTCCCAGAACTGTGGGGCTTTACCTTCCTGTTGAGCACTTGCTCACCTTACCTGGCTGTTGCACTTTCACACAATACCCCAGTGATTCCTCCAACCCACACATCCAATGCTGCTTGCCCATTAGAGCCTTCTGTGGGTAGTGAATGTGACCTCTCCCATGATGCCACTTTTGACCACTTAACCGATGGGCTACATATTAGCCAAGACTCACTCTTGTCACCATCTAGGAATGCCTGAAAAAAAATGAAGCAGTGGCAGCAGTGGTCACACACTGTCATCCCTTCCCTCCTTCAGCCATACCTTGCATATCAACAACTATCCAATCACTTCTGGAATCCTGTTGACTATGAACTGCCAATGTGTGGTTGTCACCAGACTCGAAAACTGAGAGTCATTTGCATTGATTTCAATGGTGAGATTTCTGTGTTCTTCATCATTTTCCTCTGCTTAGATGCATTCATGGCAGCTCTGCAATCAATTGATCTGGCTGTCTGTCCTTGTGCACCTGCAGCCCTCCAACTCCTTTGGATGGGCTACTTCCCCTGTGCCCCACTGGGGCCAACACTTGCTGTTAGCCTACAGCTTCTCAGCTTTGTCCAACAACTCTTCATGCACATACCTCCAAACACTTCAGCATGGTGTGAATCCCTTCAGGCATACCTTGCAGCTATGGGTTATGAGGTGGACACAAAGGTATGGAATTGTCATGTTTTGTATCATTACCCCATTTTTTCCACTTCATAAAACATACATTACTGCCATAGTGACTGTAGTACAGATGACTCTGCTATGTAGGTAGTATATCTTAATCTGATGCATGACTATTTCATGGTTATAAGTGCATGCATGTGTGACATGTTCTGTTTCTTGGGACTGCTGTAGTGTTATATTGATAGGGTAGGATGTTTGTTGGTATTGTTTGTGGTGATGTTGCTATATTATTAATGCATACTTTGGTTGTTCTTCTCAGTCATGGATCATTGCTGATGATACTTGCAGGAGGGTATACACCAGAGGTTCAGTAATGCATATCACTGGTATTGTATTCTGGAAACATCCCTTGATGAATATGTCCAACAACAACTGCAAGAATCTGCTAGTCCACCATCAAACATCCCCTCTGCAATCCCATTGCCAAGTCCCCCAGACAATGATGTCCTCAGTTCAAAGATGAGGCCATCAGAATACCTATGACAGCATTGTCCTCTATGCTTTGGTGGCCAGAGCTGGCAGAGCAATAATAGTGAACATGGGTATGTCACTTGGTGGATATAGTTTTGTCAACTGCTAAAATTTCCTTTGTTCTAGCCTTTCTGATGTTGATGAAATTGTTTGCATTGATACTTGTTTTACTCAGAAGTGCAGAAGTGGGCATCCAGATGATCCAGTAAACCCTACAGCTACAGTCTTTCTTTCACAAGAAGATATTTGCGCTATGGAGCATGAGGTTAATGAGTTGCAAAAGTCAAAGTCTTCAACCCAAAGGTGGAGCATGAGGTTAATGAGTTGCAAAAGTCAAAGTCTTCAACCCAAAGGAATTATCTTGGTGATGGGGAGGATGAGTTTGAAGAGGGAATGAGGATAACAATGTCAGTGCTGAAGGGTTGTAATGAGTCCTTTACTGCAGCTGATGAGAGGTTCCAGAAAGTGAGTCTTAATCATTTATTCTGACTCCATTGGTCTGATGGCAGTGTAGGCAAGTACCCAGTTCTTTTCAGATACTGGTGTCATGGCCCCACTCTGTCATCATGATTGTGTCATTTACCTTGCAAATATGACTTCAGCTGGGGAGAGGCAACATTATGCACTTGCCCTCATCAAATCTCTTTTTGGCCATCTCCCAGATAATTTTCATATTGGGCTGTTATATGACATAGGTTGTCAACTGGAACAGAGCTGCAGGAAGTGGGGTTTTCTCAAGTCATTTCTGCCACATATTTCTTTTGCCATCTCAGTATTTCATGCCTCTGGTCATCAATGGGCATGTCAGCTTATCTATCACCCCTGAAAATGTGAAGGATTTGGGCTATCTGATGGAGAGGGATGTGAGCATTTTTGGAGTTCAATCAAAGGACTGATACCATCTCTTCATGTTTCTGGGGTATGTGTGCAGTATGCCACATCTGTTTCAAGCTAACATATTATTCAGTATCATCAATGCCTCTTTGTTATTGACTTCCAGGTGTGCCACCTGGACATGAAGAGTCTCACTGGTTTGGGCCAGTGGCTTTTTCATTGCTGGAATCATTGCCAAGAAAAGAAGGCTGCTGCAAACAGAGGCCTAAGGAGATGTGGAGTTGATATCCCAACTCTTCAAGCTGAATGGGTTGCTCAAGTCTCTGCATAGACAAAGCGAACTCCTCATAAGCTGCTGATATAAATAATGACTCCTGCTCACCATCAAATTAGGTCACAGCTCTAAAGCTGCTGAGAATATTATATTGCAAATCATGGCAACTCAGAAATCATTGGCAAATTATGAGGCCAAGCTAGAAGTGCTGGAGAAAGATCTTCTCCATGGGGTTGCTGACATGACAAGCTTGAATATCCAAATTGCAGAGTGTCATCAAAAGGTTAAGTGTTTTAAAGAAGCTTTGCAGAACCAGAGGGCAACCCTAGGCATAAATGGGCATTCAAATCTTGCTAGTATCCAAAAGAGTGCTTATCTTCAAGTTAGTGGCAGTGTATTTTCTACATGGTTTCATCTAATTGAGACCATGTTCCATAGCTTCTCATGCATGCATTAGCAATAAAGAAATGTATCAGAGATTGTCTGTGCCAATGAAAGTTTGAGTTGGAAACACTGGAACACTCATATTGGCAGACTCTCAGTGGTAAGAGGTCATCATTCATGAATACCCTTGTATTTGACTTGCCTTGAAGAACAAAGACTTCAAAACCACACAGAAGCATCTGTGAAGTGATGAAAACCAGGAATAGCCAAGCTTGCCAGTAGCTACAATAATCTGTGTCTGCAAATTGTAGGCCTCATATGCAAGGGAAAAGCTCCTCAGGGGTCAATAGCCCCACTCCTGATCCCAAGGGACTCTTTGTTCAAACTGGATGTGGATGATGATATTTGGCAGGATATTGGCCTTGGGGATGATTCAGATGGGTTACTACCCCCATGGTTAGCTGATGAAAAAGTGTGCTCAGGGATCAGATCACTCCTTGAGCTGAGGTGTTGTCAAGAAGAGGAAAGGCACCTGTTGCAGTAAAGAAGAGCTTTGACAGAGTGGTTTTCTGAAGAGTGGGGTCATGTGCAGAAAGCCAGACAGAGTGCTGGTAAGAGACATGTGTCATTGCATTACCATGACTAACACACATTGCAGATGTTGATCTTGCATATGAACTTGACTGCAGAGCATTGAGACTATCAGATCTGTGCTCTTGTGGAAGAGGCAACTCAGAGGCTATCCTGGAACACCTAATGAGAACTGGGGTGCAAGTGATGAAGAACTGCACAGCATGGTGAGGGTGGTCATGTTATATATATTGATAGTGTTAATGAGGAGAGGTTTGATGGATTGGAGTCAGAGGGTGAAGAGGATGAGGATGAAGTGATGGATGATGAGTTGCTATGTGTTGCTGAAGAATTTGCCCTGGCAGATGAATATCACCAACAAAGTGATATGCCATTGGAAGAATTCTGTTGGGGAGAAGAATGGGAGAATGACCTACTGGATATGGATCCACCATCATCTCCAAGTAAAAGAGTTTGATACAGATAAGGGTGATAGAGACATATTATAATCTATTTGGTGTGTTTAAATAGAATTTTTTTTGAGCATCATGTTTGCAGGACATATGCATGGGTAAAATGTAGAATAATCCCACTGGTTGGCAGAGGGGTAGGTGGGATGTCCCAATGTGGCCTTAGAGGCTGTTGTGGGACATCCCACTGCTTGACAGAGAGGGGGTGGGATGTCCCAATGTAGCCTTAGAGGCTGCTGTGGGACATCCCACTGCTTGCCAGAAGGGGGGAGGGATGTCCCAATGTAGCCTTAGAGGCTGTTGTGGGACATCCCACTGCTTGGCAAAGGGGAGGGTGGGATGTCCCAATTTAGCCTTAGAGGCTGTTGTGGGACATCCCACTGCTTGCCTAAGGGGAGGGTGGGACATCCCAATGTAGCCTTAGAGGCTGCTGTGGGACATCCCACTGCTTTCCAGAAGGAGGGTGGGATGTCTCAATGTAGCCTTAGAGGGTATTGTGGGACATCCCACTGGGTGACAAAGGGGAGGGTGGGATGCCCCACACCAGTCTCAGAAGGGGGACAGTGGGATGTCCCAACTTAGCCTAAGAGGCTGTTGTGGGATATCCCACTGGCTGCTGGAGAGTGGGGTGGAATGTCAATATAACCCAAGAGGGTGTTCTGGGACATAGCCTCAGCTAGTGTTGCTGTAGCTCAGCTCCAAAGGCTGACCTGCTCAACAACAAGCAGCTTAGTCACTATGACAACTATTACCAAATGTAGCCTTGTGTTGCCACATACCAAATCCACAATAATTATTTTAATACTCAATAATATAGATGTGGTATGACCCTTGGCTGAGGACAGCTCCCTGAGCCACAGCAACACTACCCCCAGCTGCCAGAGGGGGAAGTGGGATGTCACAATGCAGCCTTATGATGGAAATGTGACCAGAGCTGGGATTGAAGCAACCTCTTAGGTGATAAACAGTGCTCTAACAGTTGAGCAAATATATATTGTCCAGGTACTAATATCAGTAGCATGGGGGTAAACCAGTGACATGGGAACAAGACTATGTGAAGAGCAATGCACCATTCCCCACTTGCTCAGAGGCTGCTGTGGGACATCCAACTGCTTGCCAGAGGGGGTAGGGATGTCCCAAAGTAGCCTTATGAGGAAAATGTGACCAGTTCTAAGATTGAACCAGTGACCTCCTAGGTGTTTACCAGGTGCTGCAACCACTGAGCCATATGGTCTGGGTACTAGTGTCAGTAGCTTGGGGGCTGAGACTAGCACTGTGGGAGCATATCTCCATGAAGTTAATGCACAGAATGCACCATCTCCAATGTGGTCCCTTCATCTGGCCACTTTTGGAGTGCAAAAACAGTGCACACCCCCTAGGGTCATGCAAATGGTCTGATTGCCTTTTGACCTTGTGTCATGTGATGGATCAGGATTTACTGCTGTGTTTCCAGGAGGCCTTACTATCAGGTACCTTGTGTCCATGTAACTCACATGATCTGGACTTACTAAGGATGCTGCATGACCCATTGTACTGAGCATGCATGGGTTCCAGATGCAGCTCATAACCTGATGAAAATGTGACCAGAGCTGGAATTGAGCCAGGACCCTCTCAGTCTCAAGCAGCTTCTCTGACCATGGAGCTACCTTGCATTGGATTCTCTATGGTGCTTGTAGGATTAGTGCAGATTACTACTTCAACACCTTAGAGGCTGTGTTGGGACATCCCTCTGGTTGCCAGAGGGGAGGGTGGGATGTCCCAATATAGCCTTAGAGGCTGTTGTGGGACATCCCACTGGTTGGCAGTGGAGAGGGTGGGATGTCCCAATGTAGGCTTGGAGGCTGTTGTGGGACATTCCACTGCTTGGCAAAGGGGAGGGTTGGACATTCCACTGCTTGGCAGAGGGAACAGTGGGATGTCCCAATGTAGCCTTAGAGGCTGTTGTGGGACATCCCACTGGTTGGCAAAGGGGAAGGTGGGATGTCCCAAGGCAGCCTTGGAGGTTGCTATGGGACATCCCAAGTCTCCTTATGAAAGTCAGTGGGATGTCCCATCCCAGCCTCAGGGGGCTATGGTGGCACATCCTCCTAAGTTACCTTTGCAGACCAGCACAATGCCCCATGATGACCTCAGAGGCTCATCTGGGACATTCTGCCCTCTGCAGATGGTGTTGCAAAGGTGACCAACCCCATGTTCTATGTGGGGGACTTTGAGATATTGGCTTGTCACACAAGTGTTCAAAAACCATTCACTTCTTCCTTCATACAGTACAAATTGCATGAGGTATAGACACAAATTGATTGAATTTATTATTGCAATTTTCAAGGCAAATGTGGGTCATCTCCCTGGCAACTAGTGAGATGTCCCAATACAGCAGAATCACATTGCAAAGATGTACATGAAAAGTACTATTGTATACTACTATGCATGGTGGGATGGGAGGGGATGTATAGGTCAAAGGATACTTTGTGGATTAAATTTGTCAGAGGAGCAAGGGGGCTAGATTTCTGCAGCTATTTCAATGCTAATATAAGCTGCACTTTCAGGAGTAGGGACCCCAGTCACCCAAGGCAGTCTTGGGACATCCCAAATAATTGCATTTGAAAGGATGGCTATGTGGGAAATCCCATCTGTCCCAGGGCCTAAAAATCTGCATAGCCCTGGGACATGACCAGATGTCCCTGGGCAGACCTTGGTCTGGGAGGCTATTAGGCTGGATGGTTTGGAGAAACTATTCAGCCTAAATGCTTATGAAAAATGGTTACCTGAAGTGGCCCATATGCTGTGACAATATAAATAATACTACTGAAGGGCCCATCCATATGTTGTGATGCTATACATGAGATTACTGACAGGCCCATCTTTATGTTTCATCAGAGGTACATCTTGCTGTGGACAGGCCTGTCCATATGTTGTGACAATATAAATAATATTACTGAAGGGCCCATCCATATGTTGTGACTCTATTCAATGATACTAGTGACAGGCCTGTCTTTATGTTTTGACAGGGTACATCTTACTGGGGCCAGGCCTGCCCATATGTTGTGACAATGTAAATGATACTACTGAAGGGCCCATCCATATGTTGTGATGCTATACATGAGATTACTGACAGGCCCATCTTTATGTTTTGTCAGAGGTACAACTTACCGTGGACAGGCCTGTCCATATGTTGCAACAATATAAATAATACTACTGAAGGGCCTGCCCTTATGTTGTGACTCTATTAAATGATATTAGTGACAGGCCTGTCTTTATGTTTTAACAGTGGTGAATCTTACTATTGACAGGCCTGTCCATATGTTGTGACAGGGGTATGGCTTATTATGAACAGGCCCATTTATATGTTGCAACACCATAAATGATATTCCTCCCAGGCCTGTCCTTATGTTGTGACCCTCTCCATGTTATGATAGGCAGGCCCACCTTGATGTTGTGACAGGGGTGTAACCTACCAGGACAGGCCCATCCATGTCTTATAGCAGCTCAGTATTCTTAATTGGTCATGGCCCCATCTAAATGTTTCAACATCCTTACCCACCACAGGCCCTCCCATATGTTGTGGTAATGCACTTATGGGCCTGTACATATGTTGCTCACACTTTAGTCCCTCAGGCCTGTCCATGTGTACTGGCCCATCTCAGGGTCTATATAAGTGTTGGTGTTTTGGTGCACAGGCTGCCCATGTGTTGTGACTAAGTGTGACTACACTATGTGGAGTGGGACAGGATCCAAAGAAGATCACTGTCCCTGATGAGGAATAATCTCAATAGCTCCACAATGGAAGGTGATGAGCCACCAATCACAGGAAATCACAAGGGAAAGGGACCTGACCCAAGGAACTGGGGGGGCTTGGACCTTAGTGATAGAGAAATGGATCCAGAAGCACAACATGCTACTCTTGCATCCTGGAAGATTGCAACTAAGTTAGCTTACAAAGTGAATGATGACCTACCCAGACCCCTGCAGAAAACTGACAAGGAGGGTGCAGTATCAAACAAAGAGGACATTCCCCAGAGCCCAGCTGATGACCAAACCTTTAACAAGAAAAGGTCAAAGTGTAAAGATAATAAAAACACACCCAAATTGTCCAAGGTCCCTCCCAATCCTGTAAAGGATATGGTCAATAGGGTTGTGCATCAAGACCACAAACAGCATGAGCAACAAAAGACTCCAAAGGCTATGGAACCAGTGAAGCAAATCAACCCTAAAAGTTATATTGGATTAGTGTTTAAACATCTTGAAAAGAACAAAAAATGCGCCAAGAGAAGCAAGAAAAATAAGTTGTCCCAGTAACGTGGATCACCAGATGATAGCAACTCTGATCCTAGTTCAAGTGGTGATGCTGGGGATAGCCACTCAGATGAAGATGAGAGCTTGGACTCATCCATATCTCCAAGCTCAGGTTCCAGCTCCTCTGATGATGACAAATCATTGACAAGCTTGGGTGACTTGCCAAGTACATCTGATAGCTTTTCCAGCTGCAGCAAATCTTCCACTAACTACAGCAGGTCACAAGGGCATAGAAGATGAGGAAGGTCTAAACAGTGAAAGAGTCAAGGCCACTGACCACACAAATCCAAGAAGAGATCCAGATCACAGCATAAAATGATGCTGAAACTGATCTTACCAGTGAATTATGATGGATCAGACAACCCCCATGCATTCCATCACTTCATGACTGAAGGAATTGCATATGTGGAGGATGGCCATGTGGAAACAAAGAAGTGTGCATTCATCTTGTCACACTACCTAACAGGAAAGGAACATGAGTTCTATGTGCACAAAGTGTCAGGAGTCCCTTACAAGTGGAGGCTATCTGACTTCTTCACAGAACTATCTAACTACTGTTTCCCCATCGACTTCAGAATGCGACAATGTGAAAAGCTTCAGTCATGCTACCAAAATTCCAAGATGGTCAAAACCTACTTGTATGAGCTCAACAAGATCTGGAATATGATTGGAGAGACCAATGAGTGTACCAAGGTACATAAATTCTGGTCAGGACTACAAAAGGAACTCCAATGCAATCTGTGGAGGGAAAAGTTGAACCCTGAGTTATCAACTTTAAAGAAGGTTGTGGCTTCAGTGGAAATCCTTGAGATCATGTAATATATCACTGGAGATTATGCCCATAAGTCGCAAAGATGGCAAAGTAAGAAATGCACTGTTGAAAGTGTGGCAGTCTTGACAGGAGAACCAGAAAGCTTGAGGAACAGATGACACTGTGCCTGCAGAAAGAAATACAAGAGCAAGGGGAATCAAAGGGATGCTGCACCTGCTGAATCCTCCAAGAATGGGGGATGATGCATGAGACATCAAGATGCTTGAAGTGTAAGTGTGATAACCCTAAGATGAGCAAGGAAGAACAGGAGCAACATAAGGCAGAAGGGCTCTGCTTTATCTGCCATAAGTCTGGACATTTTTCAAGAAATTGTCCTGACAAACATACTGTACCCTCATCCAGAAAACCTCCAGGCATTATGAGCTTTGGAGTGGACATGGACTTTGGGGACATCAAATGTCAGTGCCTCCTTGCCAAGTCAACCAACAATGACCCTGAAGTATCTGTGAATTTCATCCAGACTCGAGGACCTACCATCCAAGATGATGATGATGAACCTGAAGATGACCTCCCTGACCTTGAGAGTGTCTCAGATGATGATGAGTATGGTACTGACAATGGAGTCACCACTGATGATGAGGACTCTGATGACAGGATGAGGGTATACATCTATTCCAACAATCAGCTATGGGAGCATTGATGGTCAGAAACCAGAATCAGGAATCTGCTCGCAGATTGCACTAGGGAACTATTATCAGGGATATGCTACCCAGGAGATGATCCAGATTCCCTACACACCTTTATGGACACTCGCTTCCTCATTTATGATTTGAAGGATGGATGACACATGATTGTGGAAAGCAAAAGGAATGTATTGAGCCCTGAGGATGGAATTATAATTGAAACCCACCTCCTGACAGACCCAACATTCCAGATTGACTGCTGGTATTGGGCACAGACTTGAATCAATTATGGACACTGCTGGCCTTACTACCAAGGCAACAAGGGCCAAGTTGGTTTGTAATATGCACCAAGCATGGTATGCACATACCAATCCAAAAACATCAGAGGGTTAGTGACTTACTTGTCATCAATTTCTGTTAAATGCTAACTTAATTATTTTGGAGGATGACAAGCTGCAGGATTGTCAAGTCTATAGAGATTCATTCACACAAGCTGTAAATATCCCTGTGTTATCATTTATTCATGGATTAAATCCTTATGCAGGCACAGACATGGTGTAATGTTGAGGACATCCATGTATTTGGATGTGTAATCTATGGTGGCAATGATGAAGCTGCCTACCAGGCTCAGGGCATCTTCGCTGGCTCTCCAATATGTATGGAGCTAGCAAGTGAGAGGCAGACAGACATCACAAGGCTGCTAGATTACCTGGCCACAATTGTGAAGTAAGTATGATTTATTGTGGCTACAATTATCCTTGCCATATCTCATTTTACTCTAGATATAAAATCCTTGATCCTGGTGTTGCAGTTGTGTTACCTGACTGTGGGGCTCTATTGCAAGCAACATATGACCCAGTTTTCATGTTGAAATCCCAAGAATCCAGTCATGATTGTAATTGCTGAGTTCTGCCTCAGGTCTTCTTGCACAAACTATGTAAGTGCTGTCCATGTATCTATGACTGAGCTGCTACCACATCTTCCTCACAGATGAAGTGGGTATCATGAGTGCACAGAGGAATGTCCCATGGAAGTCTTTACTCAACCTTCTCTATATGCACCAGTACACCATTGTTAATTGGCCTGCTGCTGTCCCCACTGTTGGCCCAGATTTCAATATCAAGGGCCTCAGTGCTGACGAGCTCCATGCCTTGACTGTCCCTTTTCTAAAGGAACAAATAGGTGCTGACTTCCATTCTGAGGTCCATGTAGAGGATGAGGGTGATGATTACTTGGTGCCAGTACCCATGGTGTCATTTGATGTCAGGGAGTGGACACCTGGTGAGTTTGAAAAATTCTACATAATCATATGGACTCTGACTTGAATAATCCAGAGCAGAAGGAGCTATTTAGGATGGTTAGCCCAGAGATGTTCAAAATCCCACTGCTAGTAAATACATTTAATCAACCCCTTCATATTCTTTCAGATTTGCAAGCCTTCATTAAAGCAATCCTGAAAAGCATGGGCCCCTCTGACTCAGAAAGGACACCCTCACCACTTCCTCCATCATCACCCCCTGTTGAAGATTCACTGCAGTCACTCATATGTGGTAGTATGGGAGTGAACACACCTGCAGACTATCATCATTCCACTCCCCCCTCCTCACCCATGACTGATGTGCCACAACAGGTGCCTGCACAAGGCTGTGCACTAGCCAATGTGCTGGGGGTTCACCATGTGTGTTGTCACTCTCCAGTAGGCCAGCATTCTCTTTGCCATTCCACAGTGCCAGATGAAGAGTCACACCATGTGTGTCATCACTCTCCAGTAGGCTGGCATTCACTTTGCCATTCCACATCCCCAGATGAAGAGTCACAGCAGCTCCCTGTGCAAGGTATCTGGCACACATGTCATGCCAATCAAGCAGCATCCCACCCATCTACATTCTATAGTACTAGGCACTCCCACAGTCACTCTCAGACTCCATGTCCTTGACACCACTCCTGGCAGGCATCTCACAAGCATCATAGGGAATGTCAGGTGAATTCAAGTGATGATGATTTGCTACACTTGCAACAGAGAACCCACCACAGGTATATGCACATTGTTGTGTTCTGCACTTTGTAACTAACAATTACTAGTGTCATCCAGTATGTCTATCAGGAGCCTCCACATAAGAGGCATCATCACCATGATTCTGACAATGAAGATCACCATGTGGTGCAGTAACCACACTAAGCAGGTAGGTCATGTTTCACTCATTGTCTTGTATGAATCTTATGTTTGGATGATCGCCCCTCATAGTCTTATACCATTATTCACCACCTATGCAATTATTTGGCTGACATTCCTTGCAACTCCATTTTTTGCCCTTGCCCTTTCTTACTGTGGTGCCCCATCACTGGCCACATATGTGGACCAGTGTTATACCTTGCCACATGTTGGTCACCTATTGTTTGGTTATTCTCAATTAATAATTGAACATCATCAGATTTACCCACTGGGTCCTTTGTCTCTGTTATTACTCACTTCTACATACTAGCTACCTTTGTAGACTCATATTATATACTCTTGGACTGCTTTATGGACTAGGTACTACCTGTTTGCACATTGTTGGATACCTATTTGTCCTTAGCTATAAATGACAGTGATTTTTGTGATATTGATATGAATCTGAAGGAACAAATAAGGAACACATGCACTTGTTCAGATGTTAGGAGTGCCAGACACATATGCACTTGGAGATTCCCCATTCTCACCTGGAGATTCTGCACACCCACACAGAGTCCCTGAACTGACTTGGAGATTCCCCATACTAACTTGGAGAATCTCCACACCTGCTTGGAGATTCCCCCAACTCACTTGGAGATTCTCCACACCTGCTTGGAAATTCCCCCAACCTGCATAGAGATTCTCCACACCTGCCTGGAGATTCCCCCAACCCACATGGAGATTCCCCATACTAACTTGGAGATTCCCCATACTAACTGGGAGATTCCCCACACCTGCTTGGAGATTCTCCCAACTCACATGGAGACTCCCCCAACCCATTTGGAGAATCTCCACACCTGCTTGGGGATTCCCCCAACCCACTTAGAGATTCTCCACACCTAGGAAAGAGCTGACAAGCTCGATCTGGACCCTTTGAAGTTCCTCTTGCCTGTGGAGTTAAATCTGGGACAATGGCTAGTCAAGACTCATGAGGCTGCCTTCACTTGGGATGCCTCAGAAAGAGGAACATTTCAAGAAGATATGTTTCCACCCTTAAAGATACCTACACTAGCCCACAAGCCTTGGGTTGAGCGGAATATCCCCATTCCTCCAGCCATTTTTTGCAATGTCATCAACATAATTAAAGAAAAGATTTCCACAGGTGTCTACAAGCTGTCTACCTCATCCTATCGCTCAAAATGGTTCTGCATAGTCAAGAAGGATGGAAAATCTCTCTGTCTTGTCCATGACTTACAACCTTTAAATGCAGTATTTATACAGGATTCAGCCATTCCCCCTTTCATCAACTCAATTGCAGAAGCTTTTGCCTGCCATTCCATCTACAGAATTTTAGGTCTTATGGTCAAATATGATCATCGCACCATCCACAACAAGTACCACAACCTTACCACCTTCCAAACCCCTATCAGTACTCTATGACTCACTAAGCTACCTATGGGCTACACAAACACCATCCAGATTTTCCATGGAGACGTTTGTTGGATATTGAAGGACAAAATCCCTGAAGTAACCATCCCTTTCATCAATGATTGCCCAATCAAAGGTCCAAAATCCTGTTACCAAAATTCCGACAGTACCTACCAGATGATCCCACAAAATTCTGGGATCAGATGTTTCATCTGGGAGCACCTTCAGAATGTCAACTGCATCTTACACCATCTATGTCATGCAGGAGCTACTGTCTCAGCAAAGAAATGCATCATCACTGCACCATCTATCATAGTGGTTGGGTATAAGGTGTCATTTGAGGGGAGAATTCTGGACAAAGCTAAAGTCCAAAAGATTAAAGACTACTGTATGGTGTAAAATCTGCACATTTATTTTTTGCAGCCACACCACCACACCACCATGCTCATTTGGCTGCATTGTTACTTGTCACAGTCGTGCAACCACACTACTGTGCCCTCTCAACCATGTCATTACCTTCTGCAACCATGCCACCACACCCATTCAACTGTGTCATTACTTTTTGCAGTCATGCAACCACACTACTGCACCCTTTCAGCCATGTTGTTACCTTCTGCAACCACAGTCCTCTCTGACCCTCAGACCAGTTCCTGGCCTTCCTCGCCTTCTGTCCCCTTGACCAGTCTTTGGTCTGGCTGTTTTCTCCAGACCACTTGCTTTAGCACAACTGGCTTCAGCCACTCCCAGTCTTGGTCTCTGGCTTTTGCCACCCCCAGCCTGAGCCACCCTCAGTCTCAGCCTTTGGCTTTGAACCCTGCCTCTAGCCCTGGTTTCCTGTTTCCTGGTTATATGTTTTCTGTTTTTCGTTGTCTGTTCTCTTTTTAAGTAGATACACACTTTCAGACCCCATGACCCCCTGGAGCAGACCTTGGACCCATCCTGGCCTTCTTGGCACTTCTCATGACCCTCTGTATCCCTGTGGTGCACTCCTGGTCCAACCAGCACATTCCTAGACCAGTTTTCCTGGTCTTCCTGGCACCCACCCAGGCTTCATGTCACTCTGGTGCCACTCAGAAGCACATTAGTACACCCCTGGACCATCTTTTGGTCATCTCTGGACCTCTCTGGACCCTCTTGGCCTCCATGTTGCCCTGAACTGGCTTTGAAACATACCTCTGGTCCTAGTGACACACCCTGGTACATTTGTTGGATGCTACCAGTCCCCTGCACATCTTTGGTCTCCAGTTTTCCCTGAACTGGCTCTGAAGAACACCCTTAGACCTTGCCTGGTCATCCCTGGCCTGCAACCTGCCTTAACCCAGCTCCAAGGTGCAACTCTGGCCCCCCTGAAACATGGGTTTCAGCTTTCACTGTCTCTGGAAACCCCTGTCTGGCCAGTCTAATCACTTCTGGACTTGGCTTCGCCTTGTCCTGGCCTGCTGAACTGTCTGGCGACCTCCTAGACCAGTCTCCAGCCCTGGGTTCCCAGAACAGTCCTTGGACTTGACCCTTGCCCCCAAACCCAGCTTATGCCATTCCAGTCCAAACCACTGGACCTCTGGTCATCACTGGCCTGTTTCCCAGCCCTCAGGCTCACCCTTGGCACTGTGTGTGCACTCAGACTCACTCCTAGTCATGTGACCTCACTGCATAACCCTCTGAGCATATTTCCCTATGGAACCTCAAGGGTTCAGTTCCTAAGAGGGGGATACTGTCATATCCATGACTCTTGGACTCAATCCCAGTCCAGTCTGGACCACTAACCCCTATCTCTGGTCAAGTCTGGTCCTAGTCTGGCCTAGAAAACCCAACTCTGGTCCTAGATAACCCAACTCCAGCCTGAATAACTCAAGTCTGGTGTTTCACCCCTATCTCTGGTCCACTCCAGCCTCCCAGCCTTGCACCACTCCACCCCAGTGCTCCCAGGTCCATGTCTGAGTCACCTGGACATAACTCTGGTCTGTTTTCCTTTGTTTGTACTATATTTAGCTTGGTCTGTTCACCTGACTCTGCTTACTATACAAATCCTGTGTCTGACTCTGGTATGCCAGTCACCTGGACTTTGGCTGTCCACTCTCTTGCTAATCTTCTTGCTAATAGCTTATTAACAAGTCTGGCTCTGTGTTCATTATCCTGGACCAGCCTTGTGTATTTAACCCCTGTACATACTTCATAGCACCCCAGTCAGAATATCAATTAAGTATTACCATCAACTCCATACTACCCCTTGAGTCTACTCTATAGCTAAGGCTGAGCCTTAAGCTATCCCTGGCCCCTGTCCTGGACCTCTCCCTGGCTTGCATAAGGGTACAGCACATAAGCTGAGACCAAGGGAGGCAGATCCAACCCTGGACCAGCTTCCCCCTGTGCACACTCCAAGACCAGCCAGTTTCCCATGGTCCTGGTATTATTCCCATGGTCCTGGCCTTAAGTCCAGTCCTCCAGACTTAACCCCTGACCTCCAGCCTTAACTCCAGTCCAACTGGACTTGGCCCCTGTCTCCTGGCCTTGACTTTGGCCACCTGGACTTAGCCCCTGTCGCCTGGTCTTGAAGCCTGGTCACCTGAGGGTAAACCCATACTTGACAGTTGAGTGAATCCTGGTCTCAGCAAAGGTCATATGTAGTGAAATTCACATGCAACGTGTTGTGCCTGTAGAGACAGTTCTTGATGATTATGAGGGCCCTGTGTTGAACCTGCATAAATTCTTGTTCCTTGCCATCAACTGTTTCATTGCCAAGTGGTTGTCCAAGGATGTGAGCTTTGAGCCATGGAAGAAAGTCCTGATCTGAAAGATATGTTATACTAGGCAACACAGTAAATGTATCATACTCACCTTAAGAGCAAGATCATTTTTGTGCATTGACAGGAATGGCACAATGTTGTAGTAATCTTTTTGACTTTTCCTGACTTGGTAGTGTGGGAGATTGGATGTTGTGCAGAACAGCAAGAACTTCCTACTTACATAATCACCCCTTGTATGGGCAGAACAATTTTTCCTTTGCACCTTAGTCTTTGTCCAACTCAAAGCCTGGGGTAATGTCTTCTTCTCATATCTTAGTATTAAATCATACTAATTCTATTTAGTTACCTTACTCTCTTTTAGGTTCATACTATACCTTAGTCTTCATCCAACTTGAAGCCTGAGTTACCTTACTCTCTTTTAGCAATAAACTTGTCATTTGTAACCTTT